GCCATCTTGGGAGCCTCTTGGGGCCTCTTGGGGGTCTCTTGGGAGCTTCTTGAAGGCCTCTTGGGGGCCTCTTGGGGCCTCTTGGGGCCCTCTTGGGGCGCTCTTGGGGCGCTCTTGGGAGCCTTCGGTGCGCTCTTGGGGCCATGTTAGAGAAGATCTATCACAGAAGGGGGGTCGTATATTAGCCTTGCCCCTCTAGAGTGCCTCGAATCGCTTCTTGGGCTTCCCCAAGAGGCCAAAATCCTTCCAAAACCTAAGGAAAATCTATGTTTTGTGCTTTGTCGCTTTTTCGCTCTTGGAGCCGTCTTGGGCCATCTTGGACGTCCCAGCGACCCGCGGCATATCTCGTCCAGGTCGGTGGGGAGGGGTAAGGGAAGGGGTAAACCCCTCCACGAAGGGAACGAATGGGTTGGCAGAGGAAACGCTCTAGACCAGCTACGCTCTAAAGGGCTGGTGGGATTTGCGACAGTCGGTCGTGTCTCTCTTTGCGCGGGCCCCGTTTGAGGAAGATTTTGCGCCTGTCGCGGAGAGCGCCACGGCCTGGAACGACATGTTCTTCCCACACTCGGTAAACTATTTGGGTTTTACCATTGGGTCTGGCAAAAGGGAGCTGTCACGAGCCTCTCGCCAATTTTCAGAAGCACGTGCACATGTGGCAAGACGCGCCATTCGTGCTTCTCTGGCAGTTCCGGGCTTTCAGCGCGTTTCTTCTGCCGACGCTTCTCAAGGTGGGGCAGCTGGAGCGGTCCGACGAGTACGTGCTGGAAGAAGTTCGAGAGTGCGCCGTGACGTCTGCGCCGCCCACACTTTTCTGATTGGCTTCTAGACCATTTGCCTGGGCCTCCCCGATGGAACTCTGGCTCTTGCGGGGCGCCTATGGCGGGGCCGCCTCTTTCCACAACCTGACGTGGATGGCCGCAGCGTCGCGGACGAGAATCATCTTGCGCGACGGGCATTGGCAACCAGTGCCAGTTCAGGGGGGATTGCTGCATGCGCGCAGCTGAGACAAGCATGGGTCAACGCTGATGCCCTGGCGTGGATCGAATGGTATTTCCGTGCGGCTGAAGGACACGATCGAGGATCTGCAAGCGCGTTCTGGCGCTGAGGTCGACGTCCGCATCGCCCAGTGCGCGTCCCCCACTCCGCTTTCGGAAGATGCCGCGTGGCGCCAGCAGCTCCAGGCCACTTGCTACGAGTGCCGCATGGCAGACGGCCTCGACGACCTGGCAGGCCGCTACCGGGACAAGCTGAAGGGCTGGAATTTGGAGGACGCCAGCATCTAGGGACGGATCCCTAAAACGACGCGAAGATCAGGACAAAATCGGATCGGGATAATTCGAAATCTCTGAGAATCGGCGAGTTTGGAGGATGTATTGGGCGCCGCGGCCGCTCCAGAGCGTTCCGGAACGCTCTGAGAGCGCTCCGGAACGCTCTGGAGCGATTTATCCCGATCCTAGCCCTGTTTTAATCCCAGGCGCGGTTGGACATTTGACGCTGCGACACTGGGTCTCCAGGGGGCCTTCGAACCTTTTGGCCGTGAGCCAGCCGGTTCTCCCGAGAGTCCCTTGCGCGACGTGGGGGTGCGTCTGGGATCGGTCCACCACGGCGGCGAGATACTAGCGCCGCCACCAGAGCAGATGCTTGCTTTGCGAGGTGGGAGGGGGAAATCGCATCAAGCATCGCAGCCGCTTCCGGGTGGTCCGACGGCTACCGGGGACGCGGCTATGCCTCAATGCCAATGATTGTAGGCGTGCATGCGTGGACGTTGTGCGCGCTATGGTTGGAGACCGCGGAGGACCTCGCCTGCGTGGCCCTGGGCGCCTACGCCGCCTACACAGTGTCCTACAGGCGCGCGGCTACTGGGCTGCGGCAGCGTTGGGAGGCAAAGCGGCCCAAGACTGCCGCGCAGGCTTGCCAAGTCGGGATGCCGAGGGTTCGCAGACGTCCGGCAGTGGCTTCAAGACCACTGCAGACGGCGGGTGCTGCCGCGACCATCGTGACTCTCTACTACGTGGACCGCGCGGTTCCTGGTCCTCCTCCTCCTCCTCCTCCTCCTCCTCCTCCTCCTTCTCCTCGTCCTCCTTCTCCTCGTCCTCCTCCTCCGTGCGTGGTAATATGCATCGTCCCTTTTCCTGGCCGCGGGCCCCCCCGCTTCTTGCGGCGGGGGGGGGTTCGCGGGATTTTCCGACCCCCTTTGCCTTTGTGTCCTCCTCTTCCGCCTCCCCCGCTCGCCTCCTTCGTCGTCGTTCCCACCCATCTCATCGCGCGTGCGTGTCGCTTGTTATTGCGTTTGGCAGGCTGTGGTGTGTTCGGTATGCTGGCAGTGTTGCTTGGGCCCGGTTCTCGCCGTTTGAAATCCTGCGCCATCCCGGCCGCCTGGAGAGCGCATGTCGCACCAGCGTCGTTCCAGAGGGCGTCTCCTCTCATTCCCTCCTTGTTTTCTCCTCTTCGTCCTCCTCGTCAGCTTTCGCCCGCACATGCGGGCCGAATATCGTGACATCTTCGCTGCGCGCGGACGTGCCGAGGAAGGGTTAGTTAAGACAATGTGCACCTTGAGTTCGCGCCGCGGAGATGTTCCTTAAGACTGGCTTTTGTATTGAGCACCGCCTGTGTGATTGTCCTTCCTCCTTGCCTCCCCCGTCCCCCTCGCCAGCACCCCAACCATGCCTTGATGGTGCTATGTAACGCATTTTGTTAATTTTGCTTGCGGCATGTTTAGTTGACACGTGAAGTGCTGCGTCGCTACTTTGCCGCCCACCTGGTGGCGGCAGGTGGGATTTGTTGGCGGAGTGAACGGCGAAAGGCTGTCCCCGCAGGCCCGAAAGGCCTTGGTCCGCGCCGGGGCGCGATCCTGGGGAACTGGATGGGGCGGTCCGCTCGCTACTGCGGCTTTCGGTTGTTCGCCTTCTCCTCAGGGAGCCCACTGAAACCATTATCTCCCCAGAGGTACTCTTAATATCGAGGCTGCCCCTGTCCCTCCTCCCCTCCGGGCTGATGCTCATGCACTTGTGTTTGATGGTGTGGTGTTGGCCGTTTGGGCTCCGTGGGATTCGCGCAATGTGGCTATTTCCTATCCCGCATGTCCTCTTGTCTGTTGCCCCCCTCTCTTGTACAGGGTCTATATTTGTTGGCCATTTGGGCCATCGGGATGACCTAAATCATCAGAGGAAGCACTTCCTTCCATCTCTGGCTGCGCGTCTCGACTCGCCTATTGCAGGTTGGTGGTCGCGCTCCGCCAAGCTCTTGTTTTGATCCCCCCTCCTCCCTCCGCCCTCCCTCCTCCCCTCCCTTTCCTCCGCGTCACCGTTGCAGTGTAATACCTACAACTCTGATTAAGTTTAGCCGGCGTAGAAGCTGCAGGGTAATCCGCAGCATCCGCCGTAGCTTGTGTTGCCTGTCCTTCTCTCCTTTGCTCCCCGCCTGAATGTCCGGCCGCGCCGCTCTCGAGCGGCAGACAGTTTTACGCTTCGACTCTTCCGAGCCCTGCTTACGCCTCCTCCTCGTTCGGGTCAGGGGCATTCGCTCCCGGACTCGGAGGCTCTAATGCTACATCGGTCGACCTGCTTCTCTGAAACAACATGGCGTCCACAGGCGTGCTCTCCCCCCCTCCCCCCCGGCCCACCCTTCCCGGGATTGCCCTCTTTGCTGTGCCCAGCCGGCACGCGGCGACCACTTGAGCGACGCTCACGCAGTGGCGAAGCGTCCTAATTCGCCTACAGGCCTACCGAACAATGTTCTAAGAACCTTTCGAGGTTCCAACGAAATGTCCTTAGAACATTTCTGGTTGGGACTCTCTCGTTTTATCACATCGGGCTTCTGTTCTGAGAACATCGTTTTTGTTCTTAGAACATTTTTGATGTTCTAAAAACATTTCGTGGTAGGACTAGAGGAATGCCGGGACGGTCGGTCCCTGCCCAAGACGCAGGAAACGGGGTCATCTTCACCGGCGGTGGTGCGCAAGCTACCCGCATACGGTCTCGCGTGAGCGTTCTCGTTGCCAACGTGGCGCACCTCGCTGGTGGCCCGCCGTAAGGTCGCTAACCATTCAGAGCGTGAATTACCTACCCCGCTTTCGCTTCCAGGAAAAACCAAGTCATACCACGCGCCTCCTCGTCAAGCGGCCTGACCAGTACAGGCCGTAGTTTGGCATCGTTTGGTATCTCTTGGAAGCGAGGGTGGTCAAAAGCGAGGTAGGTTTGTTTTCCCCCTAATCATGCCACCTTGTGTAGGACAAGCTTTCTTTTCGTCTCGCACGAGTGAGCCGACGAGAGCGGGCGAACGCAGCCTGCTGTGCGAGCTGCGGGCAGCGCAGTGCTGTATTGGGGAGGCTGGTGGCGAGAGAGAGCGTCCGATCCAGAGATGTGGACACTCCTAGAGGAAAGGGCGGGATGATTGAGGAGAGTGGGGGAGTGAGAGCAACCACTCGATCGTTTTGGCTTGCCACCGTGAATTCAAGCTCTGCTGCTTTTGAGACGCAGTCTTGATGTTTTCTGCTGCAGTGCCGCGCCATCGAGAAGTCTCAGCCCTTCGTTTCCCACCGGCGAACATATGTCATGATAATGAATGAACGCGCGTTCTTAAAACACATTGTTGAAACACTTATGCTTTATTAAAGCGAGAAGCTGACTTATTCAATTGCGCAGCCGAGTCACAACAAGACAGAACATCATTTGGTAAACTCAGAAAAAGCCGTTTTACTACATTCAAAATCGGGTTTTCTAAATCCAGGGCCGTTTTTCTAATTTCTTTATCCTATCACTACCATGACTTGAGTGGCTCGATCAGTTTCCACGGTCTCACACTGCAGACTGGATCTCGGCTGCACCTTGCTCGATCAGTCACTCCTCCCTGTTTCCTCTGTTGATGCCCTCGCTTTTCTCGATCCTCCCCTTGAGAAGCTCGTGCACGCGGAGGCAAGCAGTTCCATCCTCATAGGGCAGGGGCGTCAGGAGAAGGAGGAGGGGGAGGAGGAGGAGGAGGAGGAGGAGCAAATAGACGGGGGTCGGGGGCAGCGTTTCGCAGTTTGAATTCGGATCCGCACCCCTATGCCTCTGCAGCCAGCCCCCTGCTGCTTCTGACCGTAGGCAGTCAAGCATGTATGCCATGACATGCCCTTTGTGGAGTTGTGATGTCGGCGATTAGCTGAGTAAATATTGGTCTACACTTGCGCTTTCCGCTAGGCTGCACTTTGGAGTGCCCGAGGGACACTCAGGAATACCCCTTTCTGCCCAGAGGACGCACTTGGATTGGCTCGCTGGGTTTGGTCACGAATTTCTGATCGGCGTTTCGATTCGAATTCGATCCCCCACGATCTGGTGCTGATTGCGGAGTTATTGGAAGACCTGAGGCTGATATTGGGCGAGAAGGTGTTGACTCCAGGAATCAGTTGCTCTTTGTGATGGTGGCACATGCGCCCTTTGCTTATCCGGCGTCTCCTATCCTCTCTGACCTCTGTTCGTTTGCTCATCCAGTCCTGCCGTCAGCCAGTGCGTGATCGAGTACATGCAGATAGCATAACGGATACCAGTTGCCCAATCTCGGTAATTTTCTCATTCGGCCTGCCAGTTTCCACCTTCACTCGCAGCCCAGCCCAGCCCAGCTGACCGAATCGCACATGCAGGCATGCGTAGTCGGATGCAATCTCATCTGGATATCCTCGCTGAGTTGCCTCGAAAGCTCGCGGCAACTTTTGGGGGTAAGGCCCATCCACCTTTCCACAATGATCGTTCTGCTGTGGTCAACTTTTTTAGGACATCCTGCGCTTGGGAAGTTCTACATCGCCACGGACGGGGATACCCACCCACATCCAGAGGGCTACTGCGTCTTCTGGGAGCACATTGATTCGGCGATCTGGCGCCGCAACAACCGTCACATCGATAGCACAGGTGTGTTGTACATCACGGGACGGATTTCAGGTGGATTTCGGGGCGAGCATGGCGTAGCATGTTCTGATTTTTGTTCTTGTGAACAGTTAGCATCGGGCAAAGACTTTCAATACGCACTTAGAGCGTGTGTGCGTGTGTGTGTGTGCGTGTGTGTGTGCATATTGTGTGTATCGTGTGTGCATCGTGTGTATGTGTGTGTGTGTGTGTGCGTAGGTGCGTACGTGCGTGCGTGCGTGCGTGCGTGCGTGCGTGCGTGCGTGCATGTGTTTGTGTTTGTGTTTGTGTTTGTGTTTGTGTTTGTGTTTGTGTTTGTGTGTCTGTGTGTGTGTGTGTGAGGCCGCAGCCCCCCCTGGCTCAAGGCCTCTCCCCTGAGGGGGCCTCCTCCCCCCGGAGTCAGGGCTCGAGGTTGGCCGGCGCGGCCTGGGCGGCGCGGCCGGGCCGCGCGCCGCGGCCGCCGCCGCCACCTCGGCATGTTTTTCCGCGGCGGCGCCTGGCTGGCTGGGCGCCCTCGCGCTGGCGGCGCCGTGGGCTCTGCCGCGGCCGCCGGCGCAGCTGCTGCTCCCCGCGCGTCGGGAGCCTTGAGACGGGGGTCAATGCAAACGGGGGTCAGCCAGAGCGCCCGATCTTGCAGGATCCTGCAGGGCCAGGGTCGCATTGACCCGGGTTTGGGTGCAGGATCCTGCAGGATGTTGCAGGATCCTTCGCGTTGACCCGGGCTTGGGTGCAGGATCTTGCAGGATCCTGCAGGAGCCGTCGCGCTGACCTGGGCTTGGGCGCAGGATCTTGCAGGATTTCGCAGGATTCTGCAGTGCCTGACTGACCTGTGTCTGGACTGACCCGGGCCAGAAACTCCCCGCGCGCGGCTGCGCTGGCTCCAGCCGCCGCCTGCGCCGCGGCCGCGGCCGCCGCGGCCGCGGAGACCCCGGCGCCGCGGCCGCGGCGGCTTCCGCTGCCGCGGCGTCCCTGCCGCCCGCCCAGCTCGCCGCCGCTGGCCGCCGCGGGCGGCTGCGCGCGCGCGCGCCGCCCGCGCCCCTCGCGCCGCGGGCGCCGCCTGCGCCGCTGGCGCCGCGGGTGCGGCTGGCTCCCCGGGGGCCGCTGGTGCCGCGTGCGCGGCCTTCGCCGCGGCCGCCGCCGCGGAGGCCGCCGCGGCGGCCTTCGCCGCGTGTGCCGCCGTCGCGGTCGGTGGCGCGCTCGCTGCCACCGCGGCCGCGGCGGCCTCCCCTGGCGCCTGGGCCGCGGGCGCCGCGCCGTCCCGCGGCCGCGTGCCGACGCCCGACGACGCTGAGGCGAAGCAGAAGTAGTTAGCGACCGACATCTCCTGCAGTCGTCTGGCCATGATGGCGAACGGGCGCGGCGGGACTACAGGGCATACAGGGCACTCTTTGCAAACGGGACCGTCGTACACCCGTGCCGTGCCGGACTCAGGGGGACGAAAGGAGGGCGGGGGGTGGGAGTGTGATGCTGTGTGATGATGTGTGGTGCGGGTGAAGAGGGAGGGTATGGGGACGGGTGAAGGCGTGAGAGCTCCGGGGCGAGGCGACAAAACCTTTCTTCTCCGCGCAGCGATCCCGGAGACCACCGCTCGAGGCTCCCTACACGTACTGGCGCGATGAAT